AAAGTGTTTACTTCCCTTAAAAACATTCAGAATTACACATGAAGAAATTCATCAGTTCGTGGAAGCATCAATACATAATACTATAACAACATAAATATTTATAAAGTTCCGCATGTTCCATCACAGCATATTCTCGTAACAAGTCCAACCTTTCAGCAAACACTCAAAAACCGCAATAGCTGATGCCTTCAAGAGAACTTACTTCTTAATTATTTTCAACAAACAACAATCGAACAATTCAACAAAAATAAAAGTGTTAACCACAAGTTAATGTTACCGAAAACAATGAATGAAGTATTTTAATTGGTCGATAATATTAAGCAGTTCTTTTCTCTCTCTGTCGGTACTAGACAATATCGTGTACATGTTTCGTTGCTTCCTTTCCAAAAATTTCACCTCTGCCTGCTTCTTGCATGTTTCCGTTGACAGAACTTGAGCTCGTTCTTTTAGTTCCGTCATTTCTCTACATTGTTCTGTAACAATAAATATTGTCCTTTATGATAATTATCTATTAAGAATTGAAATTTTGTCATAACTTTTTTTCAGGGTTGTTGGTCATGGTCTACTGATTTACATTAATGATAATAATTTATTAACTATGGTTGATATACTAGGTATATATGGCAATTTTGTTTGAAGGTGATTGATAATGTTTCGTTGTGTATTTCATTAGTTCGGACTTCCATTGTCTAACATAATATAAATTGATTTAAAATCCCTGAAAGAATCTGTAAAAAATTAAAAACATTAACCTAAAAATAACAATTTTATTAAACAAAACAGCAGAGAGGGAAGAGGGGATAGATGAAAGCACTCGAATAACCTATAAATTGATCTTGGAGGAAAATGTCTAGTTATCATCCGAAGACGATTGTGGCTACTAACAATCGAAACGTCATGACGTAACTTGGTTTGAATCCTCTAATTTGTAATTTTCATTTCTTGACATTTTTTGGTTAATCTTTTTAATTTTTTTAGATTCTTTCTGGGATTTGAAATCAATGTATATTATATTAGACAATAGAAGTCCGAACTGATGATATATATGGCAATTCAAAATTACATTAAAACTTCTAAAGAATTAACATAATATAGTTTATATTCAACTAACATAACAACATAGTTATTTGAATTGAAGGGGTTACATTTTTAGGAGTGATTAATTTTTATGAAAGAAAGTTTTTGGCTTTCTACTACTCCATCTGATACAAAAAAAAAGGGATGAGAGAATCTTCCAAAGAAAGGAAGGAAGTAATCATATGAAAATGTTGAGAAAGTTAAGAAAATTGTGTTGAGAATATCAGCATATCGGTTGGCTCATGCCGTGTAAATTTTTCAGAAATTTTGGGCATGAAGCGTGTGGCAGCAAAGTTCGTTTCAAAATTGCAGAATTTTTATCAAAAAAACCGTCGCATGAATCGCCTAGGAATTGTTGAATGACGTCAACGGCGATCCAGATTTTTCTAAAAGGGTCATAACTGGTGATGAATCATGGGTACATGGCTATGACATCGAAACCCAAGTCCAATCGTCCCAACGGAAGAGTCCAGGGGAGCCAAAACAAAAAAAACACGCCAAGTTCGAACAAATGTCAAGGTTTTGCTCACTGTTTTTTTTTTCGATTACAGTGACGTAGTGCATCCTACGGTCAATAAGGAGTATTATCTTAAAGCACGCCAAGTTTTGCAGTAACATTAGTTACAAATAAGTGGTAAAAACATAGAAAGTTTCGTTTTTCTTTTCTTCATTATGTATATATAATTAAATACATCACGTTGAAGAATGAAATAAAATGTATAAATTAAGAGAGTGACAATAAAAATAGATTTTACAATGACACAAAAAATGCTTTGTCAAAGAATTTTATGCTGATTATCAAATACTTTCGTGAACATATCTTATATATTACTAATTTGAAGAACAAAATAGTTACCTTTCGAATACTTCTCGTATGCCTTCTGGATTTCCAGCAATCCGGGCCAACTGAACCCCGATTCTGCAGTACTTTTCAGATCTGACTCTTTGGCAAATTTACCATCCTTCATACTTTGCTGGTCAACTTCAGGCTTATTATTCTGCTTAATTACATTATCCTTCGCCAATGCATATTCTCTATGTGTCATAATATGTAAATCAATTCTCTTATTTTCAAATCCAGGAGATTTCTTTGAAGCCTTGGAAGGACCAACGTATAATTTATTCAATTCAGAATTCAAACTTTTGCACTGCTGCATTTCAAAGGGTTTCGAAGATTTCAGACTTAAAATCAGATTCCTGTTAGATTCTGAGTAGGTCTCTGATGTAACATCTACATTTCTCTTCTTAGTTTCAACAATATGATTTGTTAATTTTTGGAGTATTTCATCAGTCTGTTCCTTCTGTCGTTCACAAGAATTCTCATATGGGTGTAAAATGGGTAATGCTAAAGATACTTTACTTCTATAACAGTTCAAGGGAATACATTTTTCATTCTCGACAGTTTTCGTTTTGAACACTTTTTGGTAATATTTAGTAAGAGAAGAGTCACATTTCCTTCGCAACCTTTCTTTAACTACTTCTGGCCAGATCGTTTCCATTTCTGTAAAAAATCAACAGTGTTTTATATACAATAATTGAGAGAAATGGTCAACGAATTGCTTTGAAATTTTGAAACTATACTAAATGTACTTTGTATGTAATTATCCCTGTTATTATTGTGGGCTACGTACATTTGAATAGCAATTGTTTTATTTTTTTTATATTGGAACACTCATCTCAAACATACGTTCAAAATTTTAGCTGTTTAGCATGCTTAGTTTGTTGGTGAGAGGCATAAAAGTTAGAAGTGTTTTGCGTCTATGGCTATTTTCTGTTCATGAGCATCATATTCTACCTGGTAAACTTAGTTCATTCTTCAGGTTATACACCCAAAAACTTCAATTCATTAATTATTATTTACCATAACAGCACGCCTTGAACAGTTATAACATGCTCACCTTTCTTAACTTCTATATTAACGGTTCCTAATCCAAGTGACTGCAAAAAGTTGTTCTTCTGGTCATTGTTCTCTACTACATCCAATGAAAAACTTGATGTTATAGGTAAATTGAGAGGAAAAATTTCAGTGTTTCCTTCCTCCTGTTCTACATCAGGTGATATCCATTTTCTTCTGACAATCTTCTGCAATTCAATTGCTGAAAAACATTTTTGTAAAATAATATTTATTTAAAATCATGACACACGCTTCTAAAATAATACAATCACATTGTTTGATATCATATAAAATGATTTGAAATCCCGGAAAGAACCAATAAAAAAAAAAGAATTAAAAATGAATAACTGAAAATAACAATTAGATTAAGCAAAAAAAACCTTACATGAAATAATAGTGAAATAAAATACAAGTAAAAATAGAACAATTAAACAAAAAATAAAAAGTTAAGAGATTCCAAACCAAGTTACTTCACGACGGTTAAATTGTTAGTATCCACAATCATCTTCGGGTGATGACAGTCTTCACCCGAATAAATGAAACTAAAAATTAATGTCATTTTAATATTTCCATTTATTCTTTACTATAAGCATGTTATAAATGAACAAATATCTAATCATTGAGTATGAAGTTTTCTCAGGAATTTAATTCGAAAAGCCTTTGAACACTTTTAGAAAAGTAAATAGTAGATATACATTTATCAAAATATCTAGGTCTGGTGGTATGCCAAAATTTCTCAAAAAGTCATTTGGTACGCAGGTGCAAAAAGATTGGGAACCCCTGGTCTAAATCTCAAGTGTAATGTACTGCTCATATCAGAGTTCCGAAATGTTACTAATAAAAATTTATTCGACAAAATATTACCCTTTGGTAAAAAAAAAAAATAAACATACTTAATGATGAATACTTACAGTTTTGACCAACATGAGTCGTCAGTCTAAAAATATTTAGAAACTCCAACTTCCCAGGATTCAGTTCCAGCTTGCACGCTGGCCCCGATTTGATTAGAAGATCGATTTCTTTTCCATCATCTGCATCTGATCCAAAATAATCACTATCATCTTCGGATTGGTCGGAAATAGAGCATTCATTGCCAAAACCATCTAGATCATTCTTGTTGGATTCTTTTCTCTTCTGCATTCTCTCTCTCCTCCGGAGAACAGCAACGTCGATTTTGCTCAATTTCCGACGTTTCGTCGGAGGACTTTTCGGAAGAACGTTGGGTACGTTCAATATGGTAAAAGGGTTCTCAACGAAAGCTGCGGTTTTTTTCTTTTTCGCTCTCGTCATAGTACACTTAGGGACTTTTTTTGCCGCCTCGCAAAGATAGGTGGTTCTGGAGAGGTCCTTGAGGCTAACGTCGTCTCTTCTAAATTTAATCGCGTTTTGCTGATTGGCGGAATGGTTTTTGTTATCTATTTTTCTATTATTTTGACTAGTCATTTGAGGTAAAGCCACGCGGTATCCGTCGTTAGCCATCGATTCTGACATCGATTCTTCCTGAATTGGATAAACAAAAGCAGGTTCCGGCAACTGAGGGCTGTGCGACTGAATAGGAACTTTGTTCAGTGGAGTCTGCGGGTGTTTCACTTCGGAACTTTTATCACAAAACGCGTAGTCGTTGAACTGTCTCTCAAGTTCGGGGGTAAGTACGATGTCCGAGGGAGTGTAGTCGGTCGTGCACACTCGGGTTTGTACCCGTGGTTTTTCCGATTCAAACGTTTCGTCGATTAGTTTTCCTGATTTTGGTCTAATTGAACTAATTAGCTGTTGGGGTCTTGATCCCCCCTTGGTCGAATTCTTTCTATCGTAAATTATCGAATCTATGCTGAATTTGGTGTACTGTTTTGCACTTTCCATATCGTTCTTGCTGAGTGCAGATGTAGTACTACTAACAGAATTTGCAAGGGTTAAATTACCTCCACCGACAGGAACAGCAGATGTAACCGTAGAAGTATCATCGAATGTTCTGCAAATATCCATATCTTTGTTAGTTATGAGATCTGCAACAGTCGATACCTCCTCAATTGCTGTCACCAACTTGGATCGAGTGTTCGTGTTTATGTCGATTGAAGTATTTTTGTCACTTGCCATCACGAGAGGTACACTAGGCTTCCTGTCTGAAACAAAGACAACATTGTTTTCCTTTGAATAGGACATCAAAGAGTAAAAAACTTTACCAGAGCACGAAGCATTCCGCGACCAGTGGCAGAATCCAGGCGAAACAGGAGGTCAGGCAGTGTCGCCGCCTACTCGAACCCCTTCGCTTGTCGCGGCGTTCGTGTGTCCCTCTTCCGAATTCTTAGCAACAGTAGACACAGTATCTATTCCAGTAGGAGTACCAGCGGAGTGGGTGTTGCCGTTGCTCGGCTTGGGCGTGGGCGGTTTTGGCGACGCCCTGGTCGGGGTGTGGCTAGGAGAAGGCGGAGCCAGACTTATCATTGGCCCTGAAGGTTGGATGACGGGGCTTTGGCGTTGACTGAGGTTCAGGGTGTAATTCGAAGCCATGCTGACGTTGGGAGAGTGCCTTTGCAGAGATGGGCTAGATCTCGGGATAGGATAAGTCTGCGAAGGGGCGTTGGGCGCTATGAAAGCCGATCCCATCGAGGACTGGCGAGTTGCCGACGTTAAACCTATTGGAGAGGGTGGTAACATGGAATTAGGATGCAAGACGGGGATCATAAGAGGCGATTGAGCGGTTAAATGAGGTGGTAGGTGGGGTGACATGCGAGACTGAACTTTCTCCCGTTCGCGGTGGAGCCGTTCCTTTTCTCTTTGCTCGCGTTCTCTTTGGATTTGAAGTTCTCGTTCTATCAGCTCTCGTTCCATGTATTCGTCTTTGCGGGTGGCAGCTAGTCGGCGGTGCTCCTCTTCTAGCTTGAATCTCGAATAAAAATATTTCTGTCAATATAATTCAGTGATATACCAGCATATACAAACTCATCGACTGATTTCTTGATTCCAATCCCTGTGAGGTGAGTTCCTAAATTCAACTGACAAATTCCGATGGGTTGCTTCAACCCATAGAAAAGTGCTAATGCTTTTAATTGATCAATAACTGAAAAACTGAATACATATAAATTTAAGAACTCGCCTCTTCCAATATGATAATGACAAATGACAAGTGAAGTACTAAACCAAAAATGAAAAATGACCACAGTTAACTGCTGTTTGTTAATAATTAGTGAGCTTTCTCCTCAACAAACATTCCATGTTTCTTAAGAAAATGAAATGTTACTATTTCATTGATTTATTATAAAATTATGCAACATATATGCTGAGCCAAATGAATCTGATTACCAACAATAATTTACTTCACTTACCTTTCGTGCATATAAAGCGGCATGGTCGCTCCGGGTATCATATAGGGTAGATAAGGATTTCCAATTGGAGGCCAAGGCGGTCTCAACATCCCCATGCGATCATAGTAAATTTGTTCTTCCATCAAGGGTATCGAAGGGTAAGGTGGGTACGTCGGGTAACCAGTTATTTCGATACCGGCTAATGAGGGATGTTGCATTCTACAGAAAAACCAGTTTGCATCAATAACCACTCGCAAAATTTGTTGAGGCTGTGCTAGTTACATTTTTGTTGCCAAGAAATATTTTATTCAAACTTGCAATCAATCAAACTGTATTTTTTTAACGAAAAATCATATACTTATACAACACTTTCTTAAAAAAAGTTTACTTACCTGTCTTCCGGTCGATAAGGTTGAAAACCACTTCGAGACATATCCATCATCGCACTTGCATGGTATCTATCTGCGGTGTTGGTAGGCAGCCTGGGTTCGTAAGACCGCATCGTTGTGGATCCGATGTATGGAGGAACTTCGGCAGTTACTTTAGGCTTTTCAGGCGCAGAAATGACAGCTGAAATTGACATTGCACAGTGAGCAGACACTTATTAACCAGGTTTATATTTTTGTGACGATTTTCTTTCTCGTCTTCTACTGCAAATAAAAACACTTATAAATTATTATTTCACATTTCCGAAGTACTGGAAACTGGCAATAACTATTATTAACTTCTTCTGTACGTAAGATTTTTTTAAATGATAAGTTACTTGAATTGAAAGGGGTATATTTTGTAGGAGAGATTAATTTTTGGGCAAAAGCTTTTTGGCTTTTTACTTATTCATCTTTGTGCAAGAAGTTTGGGAAACTTTTGAAGGAAGAAAGCAGTTAAGTTCAAAATGAACTCTTCAAAAATACAATTTAGCTTGTACTCCTGAAATTTGTTATGGAAAAACAGATATCATTAACTAAACCTCATGCACGAAGATTTAGATCTTATCGAGTGTGTATGATATAAATTAAAAGGGGGAAATTCGTGGACAGAAAGAACACTCAAAAAATGGGGGCGAACCGCGGACACGTATATCTGGCTATTGGCCTCATCAGCGCGGTGCAGCCAATTGCAAAGATGGACAACAACTGGTTACCAAAAATAGCAAGCTTGCGTTGTCAAGTAGTCTTTCAAATATTTTTAAATTTTTGGGGGTTCATGTTTTTTTTACAAATGTACCTTCATCAGCCTTTGTGCAATTACCCCATAGAATCGTACTATATGAAATATTGGAATGGAAAAGAAGTATAATAGATAGATAACAGAGTATGTAAGTTAGTTATGTTTTTTAGTTTTCGGAGTAGGAAAATGTATTCTGAGATTTTGACACATAGCTGCTCTTTGTGAACCGACCAGTTCAGTGAGTCATCAATTATAATTTTCATCAAAGCAACACTGTCACCCTTGGTTAGGAAGAAAGAAACGTATTTTTTGCGTTTTACTTGCGTTTAGCATCAAGTTATTTCTTCTAAACCATATTTCTGCTTTTTTTGGGCTACATTTATTTCATTTGATATTGTATTCCCATCCTTACCTGAGGTAGCGAGAGTTATATCATCGGCAAATGCAATACAGTCAAAGGGGGGATAAGGGGAAGAACAACTCAGTAGCACTTGTGCTAAGTGAGTTGAACTTCGCCTTTTGTTACATCAGCAACTAGCTCTGTAATTTATTTGAATAATTGTATGTAACTACAGGTGGGAAACAATAAAGACGATTATTATTATTATGTAAGCAAAAATATCGTTGACATAAATTATAAATAGTAGTTGGGAAACTTTTGAAGGAAGAAAGCAGTAAGGTTTAAAATAAACTCTTCAAAAATACAATTTAGTTTGTACTCCTAAAATTTGTTATGGAAAAACAGATATCATTAACTAAACCTCATGCACGAATATTTAGATGTTATCGGGTGTGTATGATGTAAATCAAAAGGGGGAAATTCGTGGACAGAACACTCAAAAAATGGGGGCAAACCGCGGACACGTGTTTCTGGCTATTGGCCTCATTAGCGCGGTGCAGCCAATTGCAAAGATGGACAACAACTGGATACCAAAAATAGCAAGCTTGCGTTGTCAATTAGTCTTTCAAATATTTTTTAAATTTTTGGGGGTTCATGTTTTTTTTACGAATGTTGATAGATGTAGATGTTTACATCGAGAGAGTTTTTACTAGATTTTTGCAGTCTCTTTCTGCTTGGTCTGATTAATTGGCGGCCCCTAGTGAGATGAATGTGGAAGTCAGAGTTTATTTCATAGTTTTCTATATTTTTGTGAATTTCTTGTAGAAGTTGATAAGTATATACGGATGGTAATGTCATTATTTTAAGAGATGCAAAGAGTGGTCTACAGAAGCCGGTGTAACTGGCACCAGCTATTATTATTCTTATTGCTTTATTTGAAGGAGAAAAACTTCATCAGCCTTTGTGCAATTACCCCATAGAATCGTACTATATGAAATATTGGAATGGAAAAGAAGTATAATAGATAGATAACAGATAAAGTTAGTTATGTTTTTTGGTTTTCGGAGTAGGAAAATGTATTCTGAGATTTTGACACATAGCCGCTCTGTGTGAACTGACCAGTTCAGTGAGTCATCAATTATAATTTTCATCAAATCAACACTGTCACCCTTGGTTAGGAACCAATTAGATATGAAAAGTATATTTTGCGTTTTACTTGCGTTTAGCATCAAGTTATTTCTTCTGAACCATATTTCTGCTTTATTTTGGGCTACATTTATTTCATTTGATTTGTATTCACATCCTCACCTGTGGTAGCAAGAGTTGTATCATCGAAAAATGCAATACAGTTAATGGGGGACATGTAAGCAAAAATATAGTTGACGTAAATTATAAACAGAAGGGGACCCAGTACTGAGCCCTGCGGAACACCACATGTGATAGGTTTCATGTTAGAAATATTATCTGAATCAGGTACAACACATTGCTGCCTATTTGAAAGATATGATGAGAGGTGACCCTCGTGTACCTTATGCCTCCAGTTTCTCCACGAGTATTGAATGTGAGACCCAGTCAAAAGCTTTAGTCAGAGCAGCCACAGTGTGTTCCTCTTTCTGAAAACCTTCTATTATGTTGTCCACCACTTTTGTCAGAGCATAAGCTGTAGATGATAATTTTATAAACCCGAATTGGTTTGGGTTAAATAATTTGTGCTTCAAGAAGTATTCGTAGAGTCTATTTTTTAGAATGATCTCGAAGATCTTGCCAAGACTAGGAACAATTGAAATTGGTCGATCATTACCAATTTTATCCTCATTACCTTTCTTGAAGATGGGGGTGACCCGAGATATTTTGAATTTGTCCGGGAAGTTACCTTCTACAATGTAAGCATTGAAAATATTTGTTAAGAGGTTCAATCAAATATGTTTCTGTTTCTTTTATAAACCATTAAAAACAGTTTCAACTTGTGTTGTTTCAAAACGCCGCCACTTTTTTAACGTAGAATACCTATAACCCTTTCGATTGATTCATCACATTAATTGCAATCATGATGCCACTTTGAAAACTGTTTGGCCTTCCACTTTGTTTCTAACATAATCTCTCAAATAACGAATAATTTCCGTTAACAACTTCCACTACAGAAATTCTGAGAGAAAAATATTTAATCTATAAATCACTGAGCTCTGTAGACCAGATAATTCAATTATTCGTCCTAATCTTGAAAAAGATAATAAAAATTGTCGAAAGCTCGGTAGAGGTTTTTTAAGAAATTCTGACACTGAGAATCCGCCATCTTCATCCTATCATAGATAAGTTCAGGTTTCGGTGGTCAAAAATCTGAGAATCTGAATTCCTGGTGGAACCGCGTCTAGAGTTTTCAGTTTTTCGACTTTGAAGCCAATTTCAAGTAAGTATGACTACAATAATGTCTCATACTCCTCAGGTAGTGACACACTTCGAATGTTTTGTGAATTAATTTGAAGTAATTCCAAGCATGTTTACCGAAAGTAGAATTTCAATTGCATATTTGCACACACAGTTATTGTTTTATGCCTGGAGAACATCAATACACTCAATTTAGCTTTGATTTTTAAATCATTATTATATGCCTGACATGTGCGCTTAACTTCAGATTAGTTACCTTGTTTTCAATGATTAAAATATTGGTATTGCCGTAAATTATCCCCTGAAAAAAATAACGCCGGCCGCCTCTGGTCTTCGTCAATCGACTGTGACTTGGACAAGGTCGTGCTCACCTCTACTAGCGTTTCTCGATTGTTCTAGGAGTCACGTCGCTTCCAGAAGATTTATATCGGCTTCCAGAGACTTCCATTATGACATATAAACACCACCAACAGGCAGATGGGAAAAAAGTCTAGTTGAAAGTGCGGTACGACGTGAGTTAATAAGGCGACCAACATTTGAATTTTAGTCTGAAGGTCAGTTAAAAGTTTTTGTGTTGTATTGCCGATGTATTGGTGAAATGAAGTTTTCGATGATTTATTGATGAAAAAAAAATCAGATCATTGGCAAAAAAAAGATAAGAAAAAAGCACCCGTTTTATACTTCCTAGATAGTTATTCAAAATTTGAGGTGGCATTAACAAACAACTATCATAAAAAGTTGCTCGATTCACATTGAAATGTTCGATTTAATTTACCTGGTTCTCTTCTGACGGATTCAGAAGCGGGCTGACTAGTTGGAGGGTGCTCATTGGTTCCAGGAACGGTCTGCTGAGCTAAGTTACGAAGTGCCGCAGCGAAAGAATGCGAGAACTGGTTCTGAGTGCCAGGACCGGGACCCGAAACAGCATGCCCGCTGGTCGTACGAGGTTTAGTGCTAGAGTTGGTCGAAGAGGCGAGTTTGGGACTGTTTGGTAATCCTGAAAAGAGCACAGCTCTTCAATTAATACGTACCATAAAACGTAATGTGCATTTTAATATAAAGAAGCTATAAACAGAAATGGCTGGAAAGAAATAACTAGGAAAAAAAAATCTGGCAAAAACATAACAGTCTGCACTGACAGCAGACAAGCCCGATTAGCCTTGAACAGACAACGTGTTACCTCAGGGCTAGTACTAGAGTGCCACCAAGATTTAGCCAAAGCCTCGGTAGATAATAACATTATTCTGAGGTGGGTTAAAGGACACGATAGGAGTAAAGGTAATCGCATTACCGACTCTTCAGCCAAGGAAGCTGGACTAAGAATTTTGGGACCTAGTGGCACCTACGGTCTGATGACTTCGACAATTGCGGAACTAGCCAAATGTTACGCCCATGCTCAATTCGTGGGCGACCCTGGGAAGCTGGCGCCGAAGAAATATCTAGCGATGACCAGGAAAAATATACGCCTTACAGTAGGATTTCTGAATGGCCACTGTCAACTAAGGAAACACCTTCATAATATGGATCTAGTGGACACACCTCTATGCAGGATGTGTGAACAGGAAGATGAGACTGTCAGGCATGTCCTATGCGAGTGCCCGGAGTTATCGTGTGTTCGGCGAGTCTTGGCCTACACCTGCCGATATAAAGGAGATGTCTCCCAGTCCTGGAAAGGACAGGATGGACGATGACCATGTGAGTCACATGTGGCCTAAGTACTGAGGGCTTAGACTCACCCTCCCTAGTCTACAGATACAGATATAGAAATGAGTGTTTTAATATATCAATTCTACAGCAAGGAAAAATTTACTCAACCAAATGTAAGATGGCTGTGGAAAAAATTATGTAAAATGTTGTGAAATTTAACCATGTAGACATTATGATAGTTCTAATACGTTCAAATGGTACTTAGGTTTCAATTGAGTGGATTTCTTCTCGCCATAGAATTGAAATAGTAAAACATATATTTTAATGAAAACTATGCGTTTTAGGTGTAAGGAATATATCTGAACGTGATTAACATTTCCAATGGTGATAAAATAATAAAAAAGTGGGTTCCATAAAAAAACGACTTTTCCCCAATTTTTCAATAGTTTTTGTTGGGAAAAATGGCTAATTTGTTTGGTATCAATTGTTTAGTCTTAACCCTAGAAGTCTCATGACAGAAACAAAAAAATATTAAATCAGTCCCCCTCAGATAATATAATACACTTGTGCCAGCGTTTTTTTCAATCCTCGAAAGTGTTCTGATATGCACTTTTCGGTGAGTCATTACGACCTCTCAGCGATTCGGTTTTTATCTCCTCAATCGTCGCAAAACGCCGTCCTTTCAAGGGTCTCTCCAATCTTGGGAGGAGGAAAAAATCACAGGGAGCCAAATCTGGTGAATACGGTGGCTAAGGCATGATTACTGTGTTGTTTTTGGCCAAGAAATTACGAAAAAGCAATGACGAGTGAGCAGGTGCATCATCTTCTGATGCACTACGCCACGGTAATCTAAATAACAGTGAGCAAAACCTTGACATTTAATCGAACTGGGCGTGCTTTTTTTTGGTCTTGGCTCGCCTGGGCTCTTCCATCGGAACAATTGGACTTTGGTTTCGATGTTATTACCATGTACCCATGATTCGTCACCAGTTATGACCCTTTTAGGCAAATTTGGATCGCCATTGACGTCATTCAACAATTCCTGAGCGATGCTCATGCGACGAACTTCGCAGCCACATGCTTCATGCCTAAAATTTTGGCATGAGCCAACCGATATGCCGACATCCTCACGATTCCCCATAATAATTTTCTTCACTTTTTCAGCATTTTCTGGACCTTTTGTGAAAACTTTGTACCACTTGCAAACATTTTTCTGAGTCAGAGTACAATCACCGTATGTCACTTTCAACATTCAAATTCTTTGATCCATTTTTTTCGATAGCAGAAAACCGCCGAACACACAAAACACATATACCTTTTATTGCTCTCACCAATAGACTGAATATGCTAAATAGCTGAAACTGTTAAGATATGCTCGAGACAACATAAAATAAGTCGCTAATCTAATGTAACGTAGCCCGCAAAATTTGAACATTAGCCTTATTTTTTGAACATCTCTTGTAGGGTATATACAATCCTGTTCCATACAAATTTGTGTTAGTTGGATGTACTCTATGACTACTTCATTGTACCTACAGCTCATTAATTTCCAAAACATCCTTCAAATATTCGATCCTATTCGTTATGATGACATTTGAAAATAACGGAGACACGTCTAGTAAATACTCAATATACAGGGCTATTCAAATTCCTTTCTGTACATGGGGATCTCGTAAACGATGAGAGACAGAGTGTCAGTTGAATTGTGGCAAAGTTGCGTATTTTAGAGACATATTCAATGATGTAAAGAAATCGAATATAGCTCTTTTGGTTCTGGAGATATACAGGAAAAACAAAAAAATCCCAAATAATTTTTTTGCCTATATCTTCTTTATTCGCAGATTACAATGGACTCCGAATAAGAAAATCTTTTATGAGTATCTGAAACATATCTACATCAAAAATATATGTGTTTTTATGAGCAGAAAAAGAAATGATAGCAATAATAACATCCGAAACTAACACTATAATGGTAATGAAAATTGAAATGAAGTAATTTATATATACACAAAAAAATTAATGACGCTCGAATTGGAGGCCATCCATTTCGAGACATTTTTGAACTCGGTTTTTCATATTATTTATTGCCCTTAATATACTTATTTGCTGCATTGTTTCGAAATCATTCAAAATCCTCAATCTGGAGTCTTCCACATTTTCTATCTCTCTGCCAGCGTAAATCTTATTTTATGGCCTTGCAGACCATCATATTGACCTGCAAGGCCTGTTTATAAATTACTTCATTTCAATTTTCATTACAATTATAGTGTTCGTTTCGGATGAAACAAGTGAATCTCTAACAATCACGATTGATAATGTTCCTTTACAACCCACAAATGAATGCAAAAATCTTGGAGTTATAATCGATTCTTGACTTGCGGTTTGAGAAACATAAACAAACAAATACAACTGGCATATTCTTTGTTGAAACTTCTTTATGGACAGACACATACTCACGAAGCAGACGAAAACAACTCTCTGTGATGCACTGGTTTTATCGCGCTTCAACTACTCGGATACTTTATATGGGCCATGTTTAACCAAACAGTATGCTCAGAAAATACAGAAAGTACAAAACTCGTGTCTACGGCTCATTCACGGAAGGCT